TTTTTCCCCCCCCCCCCCCCCCACAATGTATAAAAATAAATTGCATTAGAGGACAATCAGATGTTGGGAGTTTACATTATATCTTTAATTAAAAAGTCTTAATACTTAATTTGTGTAAGAAAGCCTTGAAATGTTTACCAATAACTTGCAAAATTTTGTAAAGATATGCATACATTATCAAAAATCATAGTATAATTAATCTCTTAGATACTGGTTATGAGCTGGTTGGAAGAGTTAACAAGAAATTATGTTATTGGATAAATCATGCCAAATTAGTACATAAACCCATAATAGACAAAAAGAATAGTAAGGCTCTGAAGAAAAAGAAAAAAGTGGAAGGAAAAGTATATACAAATAGATATCTTGGTATTTAACTGAAATCCTAACATGACACACACAATAATCAGTTTGTGCAGGTGTATTGGCCCTTATCCCAGCATTTTTGAAAGCAGTGATGTTATAAATTGTGTATGCAAGGCATGGCTGCCCCTTTTGTGCAATCTGCATCTATAAACAAGATCTAGGTAAGATTGACCAGTTAATTCTTCATGGTAGTTAGAAGAAGAAGAAGAGGTAAGTAATAAATAAGAATGATTGTTATTATTATTATCATAATAATAACTAGTAATGAGTAAATAATTTGTGAAAATGCTGGATGAAGGCTCTATATAATTGAACAAATTCATTATTTTGTGCATCTTGTTAGGATTTCAGTTATGCACCAAAATTTATATTTGCATATGTGCATGGTCTTAAATTTTACTTGTTTCTTTTCTTTATCTTCACAGTTTTACTCTGTGTTTTGTATTGATTTTCATGTGACCAAATAAAATGCAAGAGAAGCTGATATTTTCAGTTTTATTTTCTTAAAAATATTTGGTGGGAATAGAAAGATTCATTCAAGATAAAAATATGCTTGCATATTTGACCACATAAGTGTGATTGATTTCTGAGACAACAATATAGAAAAGTGAAGATATTAATCTAAAAATCTTTGAGTATGTGTGTAATATTTCATATTTTTTATATAAATATATATATATAACTTTTTATTTATTTTTAGATCAGATATAATTCAGACTGGGGTTCTCATCAGTTGGCCCTTATAGTTCCTTTCCGAGATCGTTTTGAAGAACTGCTGGTTTTTGCTCCTTACATGCAGAATTTTCTTAATGAACAAAAAATAAAACACAAAATTTTCATCATCAATCAAGTTGATCAACACAGGTAATATAATTATTGAAAATATAGCAATATGTAGAGGTATCTGATGGTGGCTTTAAAACTTAATAAACATATAGTACTGTGCAAAAGTGTTAGGACAAAGTCAAAAATTATATTTCAGGCTACTTTCAAAGAACAATGGAAGGTAAATCACAGGTGAAACATAACATTTTTATTAATTTTCATATTTAGTACAACAGAAACTCAGTGGAAGTGCTTGAGTTCAGCAAACAGTAAATATTTTGTGTCCCTCTTTTGCTTTAATAACTGCAGACTTTTGGGATTTTACTCCAAATGTCTCTAATATATTCCCATAAAGTTCCTTTGGAAGTACCTTTTAATTTGTCAAGTTTTTGATCTATTTAAATCCCAAATCTGCTAAATTGGGTTGAGATTAAGGCTCTGTGGGGGCCATTGCATCATTTGAATGACTCCAGCAGCTTCTTTCTTAGCTAAATAATTTCTACATAGGTTGATGAGTGTTTGGGGTCATTATCTTCTTGGTATTAGAATCCTTTACCAATAGTACACAAACCACTGGGTATACTATGACGGATCAGTATCTGATGGTACTTGGGCTGGCCCATTATTCCATCTATTTTGCAAATAGCTCCTATAGCCTCAGCGGGAAGACACCCCCAAACCATTGCACTGCCTCCTCCATGCTTCGTGATAGGTACTATGTGTTGAGGTAAGTATCTTTCATCTTTCTTCTGTCAGACGTACAACCTATGCTTTAAACCAAATATTTCAAGCTTGGACTCATCCATTCATAACCTCCTTTTCCAATTATCAACAGTACAGTTTCTGTACTTTTTAGCAAATTTCAGTCTCTTGACAATATTTGGAGATCGAAGTAGAGGTTTTTTAACTGCTATACGACCAAATATTTCATTCTTGTTGAGTCTTCTTGATACTGTAGATCTGGACACTTTTCCGTCATTTGGTACATGGTCGTTTATTTCATGCTAGAGATCAGTGGCAGTCTTCCTTCTGTCCTGAAGGCTGCAT